ATGATGATGATGATGATGATGATGATGATGATGATGATGATGATGATGATGATTTTAAAAATTTAAAATAATGTTCCTGCTGAAGCCATACGGCGAAACGTTGAACACATTTAAATAAAATATTTTGGAAATCCTAGATCTACCAAGTGTCCACCTTTTATATTCTCTGTTTACAGTGATGATGATGATTTTCAAGAAAAGCTCAGAAGTTTTCGAATGCACTCAATAGGCTATGGACCATGGAGCTCATGGATAAAGTTTCCAAGTTCTATAGCTCTTAGCAAACAATTCTCTCAAAATTTATTTTCGCGGTTATTTCCCGTAATCTTCAGCCTTGGCTTCCAACACCTAACATTGCCTGACAAACACTAGGTGACTTTCTTGACATTTTCGTGTCTTATTTGCTTTACTTCACGCCACATCACCACACAAGGGAAATGTGCAGTCACTTATGAAGCCAAACACACTTTATTTTGAAGGTAAGGAACCCAGTAAAAATCATAGAGCAAACCTCTTTAAAAAAAGTTTTAGTAAGAGTTTTACGGCACTTGCAACACAATATGGTCATAAGTGCCGGAAGAGCAGTCCTCTTTAATGAAAGATCAACGAAGTGTTTCATCGACAACGAACCGAAATAATTGTTTGAGTATGGGAGTGTCGTTATGCAACAATACTCTGGAAAATACAAGTACTAAGAAGAAAGAGACAGAGCCCCGTCAGAGATGTGGTGGGAAGAAGGCGTTGGCGATAGATTGGACACACAGTCATTTGAGTGAGGAAGCCAAGCAGCTGCAGAACAAGGAAAGTTTTTGATTGGAATCCACAGGGTAAAAGATCGAGGGGAAGACCACGTGGAACCTGGAGAAGAGTCAAAGAAACGGATGTAGGGCCTACAGAAGAGTGGGAAGACATGGAGTGACATCCAGCGACTAGCGCAGGGAAAGGTGGAAAGTGTTTCGGTTTTGTTCGTGGCCTGTACCCTGGTGCAGGGTGAGAAAGGCGAGGGTGATGGTAAGGGGTAACCTAGGCAGGAAGGAATACAGAGCTTCATCAGTCCCAGGGAATAAATCTATCCCAGATAAAGCTAAAGCACCCAGCCTTCTAATTAGAATGATCTAAACAGTGTTGATAGGGGCGTAAAATACCTAGAATTTCATCTGTTTTGGACAGAAAACTGTTCACAAACACACACCCAAGTGCCGATAGTCAGGCACAGTGCGGTAACCTTGAGTCCAATAACACATGTTTGTCTTATCTTTGTGGTGCTGTCTGCAGGTGTGAGGTTCTCACTCTCTTTCTCTCTCTCTCTCTCTCTCTCTC